TAAAAAACGGTCGAGGACTTCCAGGGTAATTCTCTAATTTCATCATATGAACTTTTCTTATATTTTTTTCATTCTTAATCATATCATCCGTTGTTTCATTGTCATATTTCTTATGTTGTATCATTAATAATATTATGATAATATATTTATGTTTTGTCTTTTTACTATTTCGTCAATGTCTGATTGAGTGTGATTACAGCTGTTGTTGTCATTTAATAGCAAGAACTTATTATGTACGACTTTTGCTTTAAACAAGATACAATTATAACAACTGGAATATTCAAAACCTCTAAATATATAACATCAACATAGGCATTTTACATATGTTCGTTTATTATCTCTATATAAATCCATTAATCTTTCTTCAATTGCTAATGGTTTATATTTTGTTGTTTCACTTTCTGTCAAGTTTTCATGTAACTGATTATTCATATATAATATTATATGTTTATATATTTAAGTAGTTATTTAACTATATTATCGCACTTACGGGTTCAACACTTCTTGAAACATCTTTGCCTTGGTCTCCGTATCCAGTTATATCGGGGTTAGTAAATGGATTTAATGAACCAGTATAAACAGTTATAGCACCACGGTCAGCAATACTGACAGGGTCTAAGAAATTTCTAAAATCAATGTAATCATCAAGATTTTAGACCTTCGTGATAAAAACGGCGCTCCATAAGTGGTTAAAGTTAATTCTCTTTCAGGATAATCTTTTGTTATTTGTGCCCCTACACTTGAACCTAGACTGTGTGTTATAAGGTGTTTAACTTCATTGTTTTCATCCAGTGCTTGTAGTGCGTCTTTATATCGTTGTGAATATTTTGTCATTTTAAACGGAAGTCCTACATCCGCAAGAATGTCATTAACAGCACCTCCAAACGGTCCTTTTCCAAATGTTCCGCTTACATACATTCTAGCACCATCAATATAAAAGCCTTTACCATTGCCATATGCTTTACTTAATCCTTGTGCATCAGTCAAATTAGAATCAGGATACCAACTATTTAATATTCTGTCAGTCTGTTTCATAACATCAGTCATTTTAGTTGTTTTCTTATAAGGTTGATAATGTTTAATTGTCCCATGCTTCAGTTCATAAATTAACTCTATATCATTAATCATATAATTATAGTTATAAATCAATTTCTCCATTGTCTAATAATGCTTACATATAAAAAGTTTATATTGACAGCGTCATCAAATTTTAGAGTTAAATTGCCGGAAACATTACAAACAGACACCGGAGTCATTGCTACATTCACGAAGTAACATTACCTAACTCGTGGTATTCACTATAGTCAGGATTAAATAATATACTATACTTTTATTCTTCTCCATTAGTTCCAGATGAAGATAACACAAATGTCCATTATTTAGCGTTACAATTGAACGAAGGAGTATATACTGGCAACAGAACTAGCGACAGAATTAAATCAAAAATACATGGTGTTGTAGATAATGCAAATTTCTCAATACTTATAAAATTTCTTACAGTGTAAAAACTAATAAAATAACAATTTATTCAAACTATGCCGATAGAAAGTTCTGTTTTAACAGATGAACAAATGAAACTAACATATGCTGATTATATATGGAATGGAAGTTTTGATGCTAATAATTTACGTTCTGTTAATGAAGTTTTAGGAAATTATCAAGTTGCAGTTTATCAGTACAATAATCCTTATGTTTCTGAGTTTATTAATCTTCAACCTATTAGAAATATTTATATTCATTCTTCTCAATTGTCTAATTATAATCAAGTAAATTTAAGGACGGGCGATAGCACAGTTGTTAAGAAAGTGCAAGTCACAGCACCACACGCGGGAATTGTCTTTGACTCAGAATTAAATCCACTGGATTACTTGGATGTATCAAATAGAAGCTTTAAACAGTTAGATTTTTCGATTAGTAATTCATTAGGAAATGAAATTTCTTTAAACGGTGTAAATGTATCCCTGTCATTATTATTTGTAAAAAGCGATTTTATTTAAATAATATATATTTTTCCATATGGAAAATCTATATATATATATATTATATGTCAAGTATTGAGGTAGTAGATGTTAATAATGAAACTAAAGCAGAAGAAGCACCTATTAATAATGAAGTCGTTGAACAAAATGAAACAGTTGGTGAAGAACCAACGCCAGAAGAAGTTAAACCAGAAGAAGTCATTCCTGAACCAAAAGCGAAAGCAAAAGCGTTACCAAGAACTAAAAAAGAAGTTGAATTAGTTCAATGCGAACATTGCTCTAAAAAGATGACATTGACAAGTTTGAGACACTCACACCCCAAAAATTGTAAGGGAGCACCTACTGAGTTATTACCAGTTAAGCCACAACAACATATAAGAAAGATTCAACCAGAAGTAAAAGAAGAACTTAAGAATGAAATTAAACAAGAAGTGATGAAAGAAACCATTAAGAAACCCACAGCAACAGAATTATTAAACCAACATTATGAAGAACTGCAACAAAAGAAAAAACAAGATAAACAAGACAAAAATAAACAAATTATCTTCATCAATGTTTGAAACAATAATCTAATTATAAATATGTATTAATCATGCTTACGAGAAGTCATAGAAATGTAGAATTTAAAACGGCGCCACAAGTAGAACGTCATTATGATGTTTCAGATTTATGGGGAGTTGCTTCAAGAATGAATTACTTTAAACAGTTGAAGGACACACTGGAAGCGAGACAATCACAGGGAGCATTAATACAGTATAGAAATGATTTGGCTGAAAGCAACAGAACCGAAAGTTACAGAAAGGAGTTAGACAGAATAAGAAACATATTAGACAACACACGGTCACCAGACGGAATACAAACAAAGGAACAACTAACAGTAAGAAAGAAACATTTAGAAGACATGATTAAGAATATCTCTGATTAATTTATTTTCTAAATGATTAATATACTATGACTAAATCAATGAATAGATTGAATACAGTAGGGCCGGTAAAAGTAGGTTCATTGAAATCACAATTACATTTGAGACCTTCTTATGATGAATTGTTAAAAGAAACTTTGGTAAGTGATGAGAACCGCCCATCAGTTGAAAATGTAATAGACAGAAAAGCGACAAGATACAGATTAAACCAATACGGTAGTCAATTTGATAATAAAGACGCCTTAGACATTCAAAAGAAACAAGAACTGAACCGAAGAGAAGAAGTTATGAAAGGAGCAATGTCGGACGGTGGCAGTGTAAGAGCTAAACTTAATGATGAACTGAAATTTGCTGACGCACTGAAACAACACCAGTCTTTCATTCAAGAAAGATTGACGGAAACAAACAAACAGAATGAAGAACTTGCTGAGCGACTGAGACTTTGGAAAGAACAACATGAAGAAATGGCAAGTGCTGTTTCGAAGAGTTCATATCCTGCCGGTGTAGAAGTTCATTCAATGGTGTCTGCTGATGAAATGCCAGAATTAGAACCATTAGAGGAAGGCGAAGAAGAAGATGAACGAGAAGACGACCCAGTTGTTGAAGTAGAAGCAAAGGCAGAAGACGCTTATGGTTACAACGAGTTTAAGAAAAGAGCGTCTGAACTAACACCCGCTTATCTTGCAAGCAGACCAGAAGAGATGAACGAAGTCATGGACAAACTGAAAGGATTTAGAAAGATGAAAGACAGTGTTTATAAAGAACTCACTGAGTTATATAATGCTTTAATTAGTAGCGATGGTGATTTATCAAGAAGGAACACAGATTGAAACTAGTAAGGTTTTACAATGATAAAGTGTATTACTCAGTTTTCCACCCACGACCTAAGGAAAAAGAAGATAGTCAAAACGTGATGGACGGTTCATTTGGAATACAAAAAGAAATACCAGAAGGGGCATAAAAATAATCTATAATATGTCATATGACTGATAAATATTATGGATTACGCCGACGCCCTACTTTTGATGAAATGCTGAAAGAAGCGATGACACACAGTTTGAAAGTTGAAATCATCCCCGAAAGACAGGTAATTGACCTGTCAATTAACAATATAGATTTTGACAATTTTGACCTTTCAAAATACGATAGGAGACTACTTTTTAATGAATATGACACCTTAGATTGTTTGTTTGATGGTCTTGTAGACGATGAAAGCCATAAAGTAAAGATAATTGTTGAGGCGGATTTACGTGTAAGGTTTCATCATTTCAATTATCATGATGACGACCGTTTTGTCACTATTAGTTATCGTTTTCTTAGTAGTGATGTTGTATATAATGTAACCAAAGATAATATAAAAGATGTTCTGAGAGCAGCGCACCAAGAAATATACAGTCGTATAGATGAATTCAGAAATAGAATGAGTTTTAAAGGTGTAAAAAGTCTAAGGCTTAAACTAATTGTTGATAAGCTAGTGTAATTCAAAACTAAACCATCATTATAACATTTATATTCTTATATGTTATAATTATAGCGAACTTTTAACCTATAAATGAAAATTAGTGAGAAAACACGGACAAAACAAATACACCAGCAACACCCCAGAACTTGATAACTACTAAAAGGGCTAACTCTTTCAAATGGAAAAAATGTCGGCCCCCAGCCCAACAATGAACAAGGCGACAATTTACCCAAATGATTACCTTAACGAAAACGATAAATAAGCTCCCCAAAACACCCCTTGTAAAACGAGTAAGGGGGAACACAGATTTGAGATTAACATAAAAAACCAGAACAGGGGACCATCAACAGCTCTTCCCCCAGGCCCCCCCTTTTCTCCATTTTGTCCCTCCACCCCCAAAGAGGCACTCGATGCACCCGATGCACCGGCGTCAACTTGAGTTTGTTTCGTTCGTTTGAGCGGTTAAGTTAAACCGGGGGCCAAAGTGATCCAGTGGCCTCGATCCGTCATTGGGGCATGGAATAGTCTGATCTTGGCCGCGGCGGAAATGGCATTTGCTCTGTGATTGTTCAATGTCTTTTTATCCTACTTCGGAGCAGAGATGAGGGAAGGGTGAAATGGGGGGCTTACGTGTGAGGCAAGTACCTCAGCTTCTGGGGTTCGTCCTGGCCCGGCACTACTTGGGGCTGCTGCCACTACGCCTACAACGACGCCGTCCACTGGGGCAGGCATAGCCGTGCGGGGGAAGGGTGTTTCCGGTGATCGGAGTTTGTACTGGCGTTTTTTTTGGGGTGGGGTTTTCTCTGGGCCCCCATTCAAATGCAGGCTTGGTACTGTTTGCTTGGGTTGCTTCAAAGGGGCAACGGGCCCCATTTTGAGCCAATCCGGCAAAACACGTCCTGTTAAAACTGGAATCACCGAGGGACACTTCCGGCCAACCACGGAATGTCAATGATGCTTTCAGATGTCTCGAAATACACAGACGTATTTTATGCACATAGCATATGCAAGGTGTATATTTTGGAACCAAAGTAAGATGCACACAAAACAGTTGTCCTTGTTTTGGAAAGGTGATTCCTCTGAAGCTGTTGGTTCGGGGAGCACACCACTTGCAATCGGCTTGGCTTGCCTATCACCTCGTTTCCCCCCCCCACGGAGGCCCAAAGAGAGTCATTGGCCTTCTATGCCGCCCGTCAAGGCGACGGAGGCAGGAGTCCTGCCAACTACAGATGCTTTAAAGAGGAATAGGCGGAGTCCGACAAGGAGTTTGCTCGTCTAGTAGCTGAGGGCCACCTGGAGTTCATCGGATCCTGGAGCACAGTGAAAAGCCGGTGGCCAAACGCAATGTCGACACGCATCGCCACGCTTGTCAAGGAGAAGGACGAAGGCAAGAAGGTTCGGTTCATCGTGGACATGTTGAGGTCAGGAATCAACGGGCTCGACTGGGCGCATAGTTCTCCCTCGAGGGGTGGATCTTCAGAAGGATGTCCTCGACCTCTGGTCGTGGGCATTGCCTCACCATGCCGTGAATTTCTTGACGATAGACATCAAGGACGCCTTCCTCAACCTGCATGTGCACGAGGCGGAACGTGGCTTCCTCATCGTCCAGGACAGCGTGGGGGAGTACTACAGTTATCAAGGAGTTCCTTTTGGGCACCGGCGGTTTTCCGGCGGGGGGCTCGTTTCCCCAGCCAACTACATTAAAGGCCAGATCTACGTGGACGACCCCATGCCTGAAGAGGGTGGCGCCTTCAGGTATTGGGCATCGGAAATTACTGAGGAGGACAAGCCCGGCCAACGAATTGTTGGCCGTGCTCTTCAACCTCAGGATCTGGAAGGATCAGCTCCAAGGGGCCAGACTTGCGGTTCAACTTCAGATGGACTCGCAGTCAGCTTTGATGATCACGTGCAAGAACTCGGCAAGGTCCCCCACTGTGAAGGAGAGCATGCCCACCAAGCACTGGCAAGCTGTGGTCAACTTGGAGGCGGACGCGCTGTCGCGCCTTTGGGAAGGCCATGCAGTGCCAGCTCGGTTGCAAGGGCTTCCCCGTGACCGAGTGCCTGCACGCAGCAACATCTCCCGCTTACTGCAGTGGATGTTGCGTACCTCAGCCACATTCCTCGCTCGCAGTTTCTCCTCCCCGCCTGGTTGTTTTGTCCTGGTTTGGGGGGGGGGGTTGTCGAGGAGGGTTTTTCGGCCGATGAGGGAGTCGCTCATTTTCTTTTGCCGGTTTGCACTCGGCAGCCACTAGTCTCCGCCCGAACATGCTCTTGACTGCGGCCCTTTGGCTAAGTGGTGAATTCCCCACCTTCCTGGCGGCGTTCTTCGCACTGGACGTGGCCGCGTCTGCACTGCCGGGGTGGGCATGCTGCACGCGAGGCGGTGGGCCTCACACAGCCCGCATTCTCCTGCAGTTTCCCGCGGCTACGCTCAGGAGGGACAAGAAGGCGGGAAGGCAATGGAAGAAGTGGAGGAGCGGCACCAGCTGCACAGGCGAAGAATGAGCCCAGGTCCCAAGATCAAGCCTGGACCAAGAGTGATCCTTCACCCTGGCCGCCATCCCAAGCCACGGCAGGACAGGACCTCCTTTCGGGGGGCCCACCGGCAGAAAGGGTCAGTGCGGGGCCCATCTTCTTGCGGGGAGCCATGCCGGTGGAGAAATGGATGACGCCAGGATCGGCGGCGAGGTGGACCATCAGAGAAGAAAAGTGCATCGTGCTGCTGATGCAACATGTGCCCATTGGGTGGCTGGGAGGGGGCACATGACAGGGCTGATTGATTGTTTTATAGCACAAGCACACACTATTAAAAATATTATGAATACAAACACATACACACAGATATATATATATATATTATAAGACAAATGTGTAATACAAATATATATATATACATCAGCGCGAAAACCATATCATTATCATGTGTATGAATTCACAAACTAAACCAAAGACAAATAAACAAGCCTGGTGCCTTCAACATCTCTTCGTTGCCAAGCTGAACCCGAACTCAATTTTCTCCGCGAGTTTCCTGTGTTTTGATCGGGCTCGTTGGACGATCGTCCGGGGACCGCAGGATCTTCACGATGTCCTACTGCGGGGTGAACCTCAAGGCAGGGCCCGGCCAGTTGGTCCCCAACGCGGCTCGGGTGAGGGGGAGGGAGCTCCTGGCGCTTTGCGGGGTTCTTGCGATCGTCCTATAGGGAGACCACAAGGAAGAGAGGCAGGAGGTGGAACAGGGGGTAAAGTCGGTCTAGGTCCCACTGAAAAGAGGATCCAGGGAGTGTGTTGGGGATATCTTGGCTTTGGTTGTTGGCCCTGGCTGAGTGGCACAAAGTACCCAGTTTGGGGGGTTGAAAGTAACCAGATGATCAAATACTTTTAGCTCCGATCGCTGGGAAGGACTTGTGGTCAAGCAACTGACCAGCAACCTGCATTCCTTGCGTGAAACCCCTCCGGTTTCGCCGACGGCAAGTCGTTGGTTTTATCAGGGATCCAGCTATATTTTCCTGTGTTGATTGTTCAAGCCCAGCTTCGGGTAGTTTCAAAAGGACACCAAGAGGAAGTCTACAATGTATTTGGGGGGCTCATTTGGAGACAATTGGTTCCTGCTGCCTTGGATCGTTTGCGTCGGGGCAAGACTGTGCTTGTTTCCTTAGAGATGTTCCCGCTGGAGGGTGTCCCAGTGTCCTCAAAAGGCGCTCCAAAGGTCACTGAGATGATCAAGTCAAAGTTGTTTCGTCCTTGGAAGACCAGCTTGGACACAACATGGTTGCTCCCCGAGAATCGGGACCGATTACCCAGGAAGGTTGGCCGAACTTGCCAACAAAGATCCTAAGACGTTGGACAACAAGTAATGACAAGTAGAGTTACCCTGGGAATCTGGGAGCAGACACACACACAAAACAATACTGTTGCTGTTCAATAGGTCAGCTGAAAGCTGAAGGCGTTCCTGGCTGCGGCCCGAATGGAGGGTCGGAGGGGGGCAGTCCAGCAAGGTAGTCCATGGCCGATGCCTTTTTGGGTTGAAGTGAAGCCATGCGCAAGCATGCTAATCGCTCTCTCTCTCTCTCTCTCTCTACGTAATATATATATATGTATACATATGTATATGTATGTATATATATATACATACATATATATATATATATGTGCCCCTTTACATATTTAAAATTATGAAAGCGCATCTGCATATGTTTATGTGTTTCTAACCCTCTCAACCCCCCCCCCGCCCCCGGCTTCACGTAGACTTCGGCCTCCCTCCGATTCCGCCAGCCGGCCTTCGAATGCACGGACTATCCCACGAGCAGCGGATCTGCGCAGCAGAGGCCCGCGGTTCTGGAAGGGCGTCCAGTGGGAGGACTCCATTTGTGACGTGTGTTTGGGAACGCTGTTGGTTGGTTTTCATGGAAACCCGAAAAGAACAGCTTTGTATTTGTTTTTTGGAGCCACTTTTGGTTGGTTTTCAAGGGAACCCAAAAGGAAACCCAGCCAGGGAACCCCCGATGTATTGATATTAGCAAGAATAAACATGAAAATGATAGCGGTAATAACAATGACAATCATCTCGATCAAATCTGGAGATTGTACGGACCCCTCCAAAATGGAGGATCCCTTCTGCAATCGGACGCCATCTATTCCAGGGGTTTCTTGATCCCCGATTCCCAGTGCCAACTTCGGAGTCGCTATGGACACTTGCGTGCCGTTCGTTTTAGTGGTTGTGCACTGCAGCTTTTGATTGCCATTGGACTGGAGGCCGTGCACTCTTCAGGAAGCCAACTTAATTATCGGCGAGTCGCTCCATTGTGAAAGCTCGAGCAAGACATTTGGCCGCATCTTGGATTTAGAGTGGCAGTAGCAGACAACGATGGAAGGGAATTGTTGTTTGTGCTGTTTTGTCCACTGCCATCCCGGCATGATTTGTGATCCCACTTTGGGGATTGTTCTCTTCTCCTCGCCTTCCTAAATTTGTTGTGCCGCCGGCACGGAGCAGATTCTGTGGCACACTCTCCACTCTCACAACTCGACTCTTCTTCATTTCTCCCGCAAACCAGAAGCTTTGAGTATGCGATTTGAGGGCCACTCTTTGTAGCAAGGCAACTCCCATGAAAGTGACACAGCATCGGGATGGGGGTTCCCTCAATTTGCCAAGAAAAGGCACAGGAAAAGTCACAGAACCATTCTTCCGGCCTCGCCCCTTCAGGTGCGAGGCCGGCAACACTCTGAAGGATGGCTTCGAGTATGTGTGGCCTGGCCGCAGATCGCACTCGCTGCTCGTCTCCGGTCCCAACACTCGGCGTGGGAACCGGGTCCAAAAACATGTTGGTTGATCAGGCCAGCAATTTGAGCGAGTGGGCCTGAAACCGTGCTTCTTCACGTAAGGCAAACGCGGGGCCGGCTCTGTTGGGACGGAGTCTTTACATGGTGAGCCCAACATATTTGTGGGTATTTTGCGGGTTGGCCACTCTTGCAATAGCTCGGACGTGATTGAATTCACGTCAGCATCAGCATCCTTTGACACTATGCTACAGTTCCCGTGGCCGTAATCCGCTCGCAGACCCCGTACGCGCACATTGACCTACACAAGAGCAACCCTGGTGGTAATGCAATCGTAATCAACACACACACACACACATCTTGATCTCCAAAACCTCCCCCCCCCCTTTTTTTTGCAAGGGATCGGTACCACCCTTCTTCCCCTCCCCTCCCCTCCCTCCCGCAACCAAGCGCCAGGTACAACACGGGGCGGTACAAGGCCTACTCCGAGTGCAGCTCCCGGGACTGCTGGTGCTGCCGCCGCTCCACGGCCGGGGACGAGGGGACGAACCAGAAAACACGCACCCGGAGGAAAAAGCGGAAACCATAGGTTCCCTTTTCAGGCTGGCTTGGATCTGGTTTACATTGGTTTTATTCAACTTACCAGGGCCATCTATGGTGCTGAAAGGACACCTATTGCCGAAACGCAACATGCTCTTGGACGGCTTGGACGCCCCGAACGCCCCAAGGTGTCGAACGTCGCGAAATCGACCCGAGGTGATGCCTCCAAAGCCCCAAAGCTCACATTGAGCCGAAGCTCTGAAGCTCCCGGACCCTTGGTTGCCGACACGCACACACACACAGATAAATACAGAAAGATCTACGTACATAGATGTATGCATATAGATGTATATATATATATATATGGTTACCCCCCCTCCATGAACTACCTTTGTTGCTGTGTCTCAAAGAAGTTGTGGAGTTGCATTACGCTAATTGTGAACAGTTGTCAAGAACCCTCAGTTTTAGCACGTTTCGAAGAATTGTATGGTTTGATTGTTGGTTTCCGCTCATTTTTTTCAAAACCAAACAACCATAGAGTTGTTTGTCTTACTCAACAACAAGATGAGGGAAAACCAACAAACCAAAACGATTCGAGAAGCTACCAAAAGCAACGCTTTCTGGGGCACCACCAGCACATATTGTGTGTTGTTTTTTGGCTTGTCTGGTATTTTCTTGGTTTTCTTGTTTTTAGCTTACTCCTGTTCTGGGCGGGTTTGGTACTACCATGATGCAACCATCTTGGAGCAGTGAAGGGGTGTGGCCAGGGAACTAGATGTTCGATGATTTGGAATTCAACACCTGGTTTTGCAGTCTGGACCCGAGCTGCTATAAAGCTCTTTCAAGTGAGTTGTTTGCAGCGGGGGGGGGGGGGGGGCCAATCGTATGGCAACCCTAAGAAGAAGTTGATTCTTGTACCATTGTTATTCATCGTTTTCATTTCAGATTCTTGAGTTTGGCCATTCCAGATTTAACATGTGATGTCCAGTCATTGGGAAACCGGGATTCTTCTATACTTCAACGTTCGCAAACTACAGACCAAGACCAGAACCCACAACATGATTCTCCCAGTTTTACGGCGAGCTCACCTGGCAAACGGAGCTCGTCGTGCAGGTCCTTGGCTTGGGGATCCCTTTCAGGTTTTGGATTTGTCGAATTCGGAACAGCTCTTGCTGATGCTCAGCTGGGAATGAAGGAATGACCCTTATAAACCACCCCTTGTAGTTTCCTTTAAGGGAATCCCCGGGTTCATTCCCGCATTCCCTACCTATCGCACCAGCAAGAGTTCCTTTGGGCAAAGGTTGAGGTAGGGAAGGCCCAGCCCTCAACCCCTTGCGACTCGGCCGCAGGCGGTTCGCAAGGACTGAGATGCCTGGGGCCTAAGGCGGGATGGGGTCCACAAGTTGGAGTTGGCCTCATGGTTGTGACATGGGGCTTTATGCCCACTGCCCACTTTCTGCAAAAAAAAACCCGAAGTGAGGTAAGTCAGAAGGACGGTCCGCTTTGGTAGCATTTGGGATGTTTCCTGCCAACTATGGTTGGGCCTCCAAAAGTGGTCAACCTCCAAGTGCACATTGCTTTCTTTGGAGAGCACAATCGATGGACGGTGTTTGACGGGAAGCACAATCGAACCCCCCATGTTGAGGGAAGACTCCCCTTGGATGGAGCAGAATTGCTCAACCAAATATCGCAATTCTGGTGGGTCCAAATCTCCCATCCAGGGCAACTCTTTTTTGGGGCCCTGCAGAGAAGGAACCTTCACCTTTGGCTCAGCATCACCTCTTCCAACACCAGGAGGTCTCCAAACCTCACCCTCGGTCGATCCGCAAATCGCGCACTCCGAAGGCGGCCTCCAGAGTTTCGACACGCGATTCCGTGGCCGCACGTTTTCTCCACGCAAGAGGTAAAACCCAAACGTCGGGGGAGTCCCCTCGTTGCCCCAAGCCTGGAAACTTTGCCGGGGCAGGCCATGCCCCGGAAACAAGGGCTTGCTGCTGCTTTTTGCTTTTGAGCACACAAAGGGTCAAGGTGAACTTCGGGCTGATCAATTCACGCGATCAATCAGTGTTTTGTGCGCTTTGGACAAAATGGACCCATTCTTTCCTCGTCACCCCCGCTCCGGTGCAACTCTGGGATGAAGGGTCGAGGAGCCATCAACACGATCAGCAGAGCTTGAGCAAAGCCACCACCCCCCGTAGGCCAAATGAGGGAAGACAGCAGCCTGGTGGAGGATTGTTATTGCTATGCATGGCTGGCCAAAACCACTTTTTTTCCCGTAAAGAACCGCTCATGTTTGGATTGGTCGCCCAACCAGCTTTTCAAT